CCCCCCCCCCCCCCCTCCGGCCCTCCCGCCCCCAGACGCCGGCCCACCTCGGGGGAGGGTTGCCCGCCACGTCGTCCCCTCCCGACCCCCGGAGCCCAGGGCACCTGGTAGGTGTCCGTCGGGGCCCAAGCAAACACCTGCCCATTCTATTTTTGTCCCTCCCGAGGAATGCACCCGCAAGCTCCGGGCCCCCGGGCATCGGCCTGCCGGTGATCTGCCGGCTGGCTGGGCGCCCCCTCGCCGCCCCTTTGCCGGCCCCGCCCCCGGCCGCCGGAGGAATGTTCCCCGGCGCCCCGCTGGCCGGTCAGCGACACCCGTGTGTTTGGCCAGCGCGACACCTGGGCTTCGGCGATAAATTGCCCCAGAGGCAGGGGGAAACCCTCGATCAAAAGCCGCCACCCTCTTTTCCGGGTTCCCGCCCCCCCCCCCCCCCCACACACACACACACACGCACACGTGCAGACACATGCACACGCGCGGACACACGCACACACAGGCCGCTGGCCACCGACCATCCCAGGCCACCCAGGTGTGGGACATCATTCGCGTCATTCTCCCTCGGGCGCCGGGGGGTGGCGAAGCGTGGACCAACGGCCCCGGGGCCAGCATCCCAGGGGCCCCACCCGCCCGGCCGACATCCCCCTCAGCGGCCTCCTCCCACCGGGGGAGATGTCCACCTTCTACTTGCGGATGGCCGCCGGCCGGCCTGCCAATGACAAGCCGCGTCATTCGGCCCGGCCGCTCCTTCGAGGCCCCGGTCCAAACGCCCGGGCAGATGGCAGAGAAACTTGGCTCTGCCCATCGCGCCGAGTTAGCCTGCTCCGGGCGCACGGGCGGCGGGGGGGGCCGGGGGCTGTCTCCGCCACCTGTCTCTCCCCAGCACCAAATACGGGCACGGTCAGGCGACTGCCACCGCCGTGTCCCAGATGCCTCTCGTGCGCGGGGCGCTCCCGTTTCGGACATTCAACAGCCAGACGCCTGGGTGGCGCGCCCGGGGCTGGGGAACGGGCCGAAAAGCAAACACCACAATCAGAACATTGGCACTTCAGCCCCTCATCGGCCGCGGTGGGACATCCCCGGCACGGGCCAACCCCCCCCCCCCCCCCCCGCCCTGCCTTCAGATGACGCCCGGCGCACACCCATCCTTCGGATGGGCGCATGCCGCGGCCTGCCCTGGAGACGGGGCCGAGCCTCCGCCCCCCCCCACACACACACCCGCATGCTGGCGTGGGGAGCGTGAGCGCGTGCGCGAACCGACGCCCGTGTGTGTATGTGTGTGCGCGTGCGGCCGAAAGGAGCCCCCGCAATATCTGGCCCCGCACCTTCCCGGGTTTATTTTTCTCACGGGCTTACAGCCCCCGCCTGGCCCCGGGTCCGAGGAGAAAGCCATTCCGGCTCGGGCGGTCGCGCGGGGAAGGGGATGCTCTGCCGCGCGGGACAGGTCGGGCACCCGGCGGGTGGGGGACAAGACCCTCGCCCCCGCAGGGGGGAGGACCGGCTTATGGCAGGGCAAGGAAACCGGATCGGCAGGCGAGACCCGCCGATCTCGCCACCGAGCCCGGTGCCTGGGCACAGGACGCACCTGAAGGAGGGTACCTTCGAGACGCCGGGCGACGTGCCGCTCCTCCGCGCGGGCGAAATCGACGAACCGGAAGCACTCCGGCTGACTGGCTGACTGGCTGACTGGCTGGCTGGCTGACTGGCTGGCTGGCTGACTGGCTGGCTGGCTGACATGGACATACACACGGAAGGGGGCGAGCGGGGGCGAGAGGGCACACGTACCGGCACTGAATGTGGCGACAGCCGAGCGAGAGAGGTCTGCCTCCTCGGCCGGAGCCATCGGGGTGGAATACCCATCGGTCGAGGTGCACGTGCCCTCGTCATCGCCAAGACACAGGGCCCTCTCATCCGGCGATGTCTGAAAGAGCAAGATGTTGAGGTCGGCATCCAAATCCGAGACACCCTCGCCGAAGTTCAGGGCATTCGAGCTGACCAGCCCGAGTCGCGCTTGGGTACCAAGCTGCTGCGCCACATAGGCGCCATTGGACCGGGAGCACATGGTGGGCGCGCCTCGGCCGGCAGGGGGGGACACAACTTGCGGGGTGATGGGCAGGAGACGGCTGCTTTCCAAGACAGCCTGCGTGGCCTCGAGCGGAGGCGCCAGTGCTTGAGTGTGGGTTTGTGCGTCCTGGTGCGCGATTTGGGGCGTGCTCGTGTGTGTGTGTGTGTGTGTCTGCGCGTGTGAACAGGCGCACAAGTGGCCTGCAATTCCTTCAGGCGTGCAGCTAGACGTGCTATGAGGCGGGTGCACAGAAGAGGGGGGAGGTGCTTGGCGACTCGGGGAGGGCGACCCAGCGGGGCGAGGAGTGCGGCAAGTAGCAGGGGAAAGGATCAGGCAGGGCGAGGGCCAGTGCAGTGAGGGGAGGGGAGGGACTGGCCACTGGAAGGCACATTCAGGTAGGGTGCCGAAAGGAAGGGGGGAAAAGGCACCCGCTCGACCCGCGCTACCCCCGGCTGCCTGCGCCCGGGCCTTCGTAGCCCGCCTCGCCACGGGTGCCGACTCATCGGCGGCGCGGAAGGGAGATGTGTCCGGGGGCGCCCATCTTCTTCCTGTCACAAGGTAGACCCATGCGGGGATGCACTCCCACGAGAGGCACCTGGCCTTCAAGCGAAGGTGCGGCTGGCTCCCGGAAGCCGGCATCCTGGCCCTGTGCAATGCCGACTCATTTTTACCCCTCTTCACCCCCCCCCCCCCCC